AGAGTCCATTTACCATTTACTGATTCTGATGAGTGAACTCTGAGACACCCCTCCTCAAACTGACCCCTTTGAACTCAACAAAAATTTCTTCAGACATGGCATTTTTAAAAGTTAGGGATTTATAAAGGATAACCTAAGGCAAAATTCATTCATAGCATATAATCCTAAGTAAGAGAGCAGTGGGCGACACCTGAGAACAAGCTCCAAGTCTAAGCCTGTGGAAGGAAGGAAAATTAACCCAGCAAGTTTCTTCCTGTGACAGAAGGAAACCAATGAAAGCCTGGAGACAACATCCAAACTTTAAAAGTTGACATTACTGTCACATTAACACTTTTAGTCACAAATACAATCAGAACTGCTCCCAACAAACATAGATGTTTACATCTGCGCTGTAACTGCAATAATTTAATCAACCGATTTGCACTACAACCTGGTTTGCCTCTTATCTGTAGTTAATTTTATTTAATTTTAATAACTGTACAGTACTCTGTTTATAGTAACCATTGTCCTTAATGTAAATATGTAAGAAAAATTGTGTATGTTTCTGTTCTGTGTCCTGTTTACTGTTTGTTGTATATGTGTCTTTCTGGCTGCTGTTACAACCAAATTTCCCCTTGTGGGACAATGATTATTCTATTCTATTCTATTCTTCTATTCTACATCTCCAAAAGTTGATTCTGTTCATCTGGACGTAGCGTTTTGTGGGAGAAACGTTTCGTCACTCATCCAAGTGACTTCTTGGATGAGTGTTTTAGTCACACAGCTCAAAAGTAGTCATGAAATAGTTAATGAAGCCTTAAAGTTAAATGCTAAGGACAAAAGCAAATAATTAGCAACAACTGTGGCCTGACAAAATTCAATTCAAAATCCCTTAAAAATGGGTGCATACTTGAGAATTCTGCAGCCATGTCCAGGTGCCGCTGCATATGCCTTCGTCAACATCACATGTTATCAATTTGTCATGGGATAAAAGTGGGTTGCCCATGAATTCACTCATTATTGACCTGAACAACTATTCAAAAAGATGATAAGCCTTTTAATTCTGTTATGCATTGCCCAGCAATAGGATGGGCACTTCTGTTATTGAACCCCACTATCTGTGTCACCTTCCCACACAAAGAGTGTGTAAGACAAGAAAAAAATCCAGATTCCTGCTTTCAATGTCATTTCACACTCTGCAATCACAAGGGATTCCTGGCCACATGCTGCCAGTGTCCTGCAGAAAATAGATCTGCCCACCACAGGTCTTATTACTCCTTAAGCTCTGCCACAGCCTGGGGTTACACCATCGTGCCTGACAGGAAGAGGAGATGAGAGAGAGACGGAGCAAGAGGAGGGAGCAGGGGTGGTGGGAGAGAAAGAAAGACAGCAGCAAGACAGGTAGAGATTAGACAAGAAGAGAAGAAAGGTTGTGACATAAGAGGGAGAAGAGCCGAAGATGTAAAAGTGACAATGGAAAAACTCTTCATCTCCAACCCCACTGTGCTTATTACCTAAGCTAGAACTAGGTATGCACATGTATACACACACAGACACACAAGCAGAATAACAATTAGGGGCAAAATCTTGCAGGATATTAAAGGTAGAAGCATCAAAATCCTCTGATCCCCACCTAACCCACCGCAAGATGGGCCAGACAGGCAAAAAGTCATTTGCGTCTCAAGGGCAACAGAGTATGTTGATGATGATGATGATCTAAAAATAGTCCCGAACACCTTCAGTCCGTCAGCAGGACCCAGTCATTCGTTAGCCTGCACATGACCTTGGCTAGCTGCAGGAGC